GGCCCTGTGATGACTACAGTTACACCAGCCATGGCTCCCACTGGGAATGCCTGTATTTTTACAGCAGTGCCTCACATCAGGCAGGGGGTACAGATTAGCATGAATCTGACAGTGGCCTGACATCTCCTGGAGATTCTCTGAGGCTGAAGACTCCTCATACGATTAAAGACACTTCCCAGTTGCTTTGCATTATTATAACACAGAGTACCATAACCAGACTGGAGGATCTGTTCCATGTACTGTATAGAGCCCCAACTCACAATATTTCTATTCACAGTCTGCTATATGGGACTATGCCTCAATCATTAAATCAGGCTCAAAATATTTCTTGTTTGTTCTATTACCATTCAAAGAATGTTAAAATATTCTTTCCATTAGTTTAGGAAAAAATAATCTAGCTAGAAGAATAATGTGTCCTGACTTGAACAAGAGAATCGCTGATTAACTTTTAGCTGACAAAACCCCTGCCAGTTTCTACTAAGAGTCACCACACACAGAAATCGCTGCTGAAAATCAGAAGACCAAATTACTTTCCCATGGAGAGGTAATAAGTGCATTTCATGATGGGCAGTAAAGCCTGTTAGGACATCTCTGGTTCTGGGAGTTTTCAGGGTAAGGAATTAACAGAGACATAAAATGAAGGCACCTGGACAGGATAAGAAACTCAAGTTACTTTTACCAATATGCAGTGTGATGGGCTCAGCAGCCGCTTTACTGAGCCTCCATGGGTTAAAGCTGGCTCCAGGTTTATCATCTGGCTGGGAGGGTGAGTCTTATTTTCAGAATGAGAAATTTTCATTTAGATTCACTTAGTCAGTGCAGCTACTTCAATCTCGATGTCCACTATAGCAGGTTGGGGCTGTGCACGATGGCAGGGATGTACCAATGACTGCCCTGTGTCCTACACTATCCCTTTTCCTTACACAGGAGGAAATTAGAGAGGATTTCTTTTCCAACCTGGAACACACATGGTTGATCAGGTGAGCTCCAAGAAAGTTGTATAGGGTGGCATTGCCTCTCACCTGCATCCAGCATAGGCTAGGGAGACTACAGGGTAGCTTGTCGCTGGGACAGTATTTAACTTGTAGCTTTACTGTACAGAACAGAACAATGATTAGTTGATTTGTTTTAGTGTCCTAAAAGTCTCTCACACCAGGTGCTGAGACTTTTTGTGAGCAGAACCCAGATGGATCCTTTCACCCCCAGGGAGTTTACAGTGCCAGACTCCAGTCTTCCCAGTAAACCCAATAGCCAGCCAACCCTGTGAAGATAATGTGGCAATTTAGGTATTCACAGCTGTGGTTGAGTACATGTTGTTTGCAGGATCTGGGTCTTCCCCCTTTCTTTCAACTTGCTGGGATACTGGAAGTCTTTATGTGTGTGGCAGGCTGCTTTGCCTTACACCCTTTAGATGAGACCCCTGAGATTAGCCTGAGTATGGGAGCACAGTGACTGCAAGTCAGCTCTGAGCAAACACAGGGACTGTTTAGCTTCCCATGAAGTACTGAGGTCCCTGTGCTTTGCCCAGGCATTGCTGATCACCTTCTTAGGAAGCAGTGCTCTCTAATTTCTGGCCTTTACCAGGGAAAGAAACCATTGATCTAACTGGCAGCTCAAATTTATCAGACACTGATCAGATGCACGTTTGCTGAAGATAAGTCTTTTTGATCAATTGCATTGGGAATTTCACCTGGGATTCGGTACACACAGAGTCTCTGAAGGCAAAGGTTTTCACTGATTTTTATCCTGAAGTATAAATATCCTTTGACTGTAATTTAATTATTTACTAATACATAATATTAATATATATAATATATAATCCCTTACTAATCTGCAGTCCCGTCTTTTCTGTACATGGACAATATTTCTAAGTAAGGGCAGGTTGTTAAGAGCAGATTCTAGCAATGATTATGCTGCTGGTTACTTTCCTGCTTACAACATGGACCCTTTCCTCTCCTTCCTCCTCAAAGGGATTTAGTTCTGATGGAGACACTTCTGTACTGAAACAGTAATTATGCTATCATCCGTTGTTCACTTATTAATGTTGTTAATTCTCTTCAGACATATTTTTCTCATTTTGGTTGGTGCTTTAACACTTCATTCTGTAATTCACTTGTTTTTTTCCAACCTTATTGTAAACAAGGATTTTAATCTCTGAGTTAAGGAACATAAATCCAACTTTCTGAAAGTAAAAAAAGATGGATTTTATAGTTTATTTGATATTTAGAATTAATAAACTGGAGAGACTGAAGCACACTTACCATCTCTTAAAATCAGGCTTTAAATTTTATTCATTGACTTAGAAGTAAGTATTATAAAGATTTACTTCATTTTTTGAAGCTTTTCACAGCATGTGCATTAAAATGTAGCCATATGTAAGGTGCATACCCAGGGCAAAGGAACAGGGGTCACCTACAGAACAGATGGTCCCATCTTAGGCGACACCAGCATGCAAGAAGCTACAAGGGTCCTATGAAACAGGAAATGTAGCAGGAGCTCCCAGTGCCCTGCCGTGGTGATGGGCACTGTGTAAGAACTGCCAGCTTGTGAGGAGAAAGGAGTTTACAGCTCAATGGAGCATTGGGGTCACCATTACCAGTAAAAGTCTTTTTTTTTGTCCTGCTGCTGTTTTAAAAGAGAAAATGCAGGGAAAAAACAGAAGTCCAGAACTGAAAGGGACAAAGATGGAGCCTGGACAAATGCTTTGAAGGCTGGAGGAAATCCCTTCAGTGAGAGACTTTGAGAACTCAATCTGCTTACCTGAGTAAAAAGAAGACCAAGAAGGGACTTGGTATCACAGTAAAGCACCTTCACAGAGGAGGAACACAAATCTCTGGAGGTGTAACCCATGCCAAATTTGCTGCTGAATTATTCTTGGCTGCTTACTCCAGTCTCAAACACTGGTCTCATTTGTGCCCCAGCTAGCTGAAGAGCCAAGAGCTATGAAGTTATTTCCTATTTCACTTTGATGATTTGGTATTGAGAGGGGATATTCCCCAAGGAGAGGTGAAATCCTGCCTACAGCTCATGGGTGGACATTTATTGCTTTTGGTTTATTGCAGGTAGGAGTTCCCTTCTACACTGCAATCAAGCATGCAGAAGCTGCGGCATAGTAGAATACTGCTTGTAGGAAATGTATTGCATTCAACCTCCTGTAAAAGGCTTCTCTGATAAAAGATATCCTAAAGAAGAGTGTTACCCTGCTATTATATGAAAACAAGCTTGTTCTGGAGCCTTCCTTGGCAGGCTGCAGATTGTGATGTTTTCTATCTTTTTTTTTTGTAAACCAGGATTATCTGCACACAGGCAGTGACTTTCCTAGTGAGCCAGGTGGTGTTGCTGGGCTTCACAAGCACAAGGTGGTCAGATGTCCTGCAGAACCTCTTCTTTTCCTTGCTTTTCTTCCTGTGCATATTGGCTTTAAACCAGTTCAGGAGCAGTATAAAATTTCTCATTACCCTTACTCATGCGGCTTAAAATTTTGTGGGCATGTTAATAGTCAATTATGTTTAAAAGAGTCTTTAATCACCACCTTGAAGCTTGAGGCTGGACATATCAGTGGTGATTTGAGCTGGTATTGCCTTTGTAGAAGAGTTTTCTCTGATACAATAATCTGTGAATACCAGCCAATAAAATAGCAGTTATGCATTGCATGGTACTGAACGGTAGCTCAAAAACCGAGTGCAGAGAAAAATCTCAAGTTGGGCCCTTCTCGTTTGTTTAATTAATTTCATTTGTTTCACAAAGTTTAGTCCTTATTTTAGTGCAGATCAGTACTGCATCAGTTTAAGTGCTTCAGTGAAGAGTTTCTTAATGGCTCAGACTTATCTCAGCGCATCAGCGGAGGTGTTTGCAACTTGCTGAGCAATCTGCTGGTGTTCTGTGTGCATGTGCAAGTTCTGTTCAGCACAGTGAGAATCTCTACTGAGATTTTGGTGTACTACAAATGTCAGCAGGTGAGAAATACTTGGCCGAGGCCAGTTCAACAAGCAAAAGGTTATTGGAAAGGCCTTAAATACATATTGGCCATTAGGTGTGGAACTTGGATTTCACGATAAGGTCTCTAGTTTTGTTTTATTGGGCTAGGGAAGACTAGAAAGCTGTTATGATTTTTTGTGTCTATATTATAACATTTCAAAGTATTCCAATGAATCACATTTGAAACCTCCAAGATTCACATTCTCAGTGTTCTGTTTCATCTTTAGTTTTCTAGACATATGGAACTTTTGGTCAAGGTTCCTAAGGTGACCATAGACATGTAAGCCTTCTTAAAACAGATATGAAAATTGCAGCTAAAAATGGAGTTGAGAATTGGAATGCTCTGGATGTTAGTTGTAGCTCTGATGAATTAGTGGAAGGACTGAAGAGGTTACTGCTATTAATTCATCAGCACTTCAAAAACCCTCATTTCCCTGCCTGTAAAGTGAGCATTTACTCACCTCTCAGGCTGCTATATAAATCAAGCTCAGGCCTTTGAGAAGTTAACAAGGACATTTGCAAAGCATTTTCTTGTTTATAGGCAATGTCCTTCCCCCCCCCATCTTCATTTCACAAAACAGGAACCACTTCAGTATCATTAATACACCAGTTACCCAATAGGAACCTAGTGATTTTGACTCCAGAAAGGTTTGAATAATTCAGTATCATTTGCTATGTGCACATAAACTGTGACTGGGGAAGATCTGATCCATAAACAGCCTCATCTCTATTTCCTCTTCTCCTCACAACACTGCTATGTTTGTTTAAATTCGTTTCATTTCCTGATGAGGAAGGAAAGCAGCCATGCAGCATGAGATGAGCCTCCACAGCCAGCGGAGTACTTCATTCTTCTGTTCACCAAATATCATTTTCAGCAAGTTGCCTCTTCTACTATATGGAGTTTCCTTGAGATACTGTACATACATGCAACATGCATGTGAATGTACTGCCAGTTGAAACCTTATTACTAGTCTTTTGATTTGTAGTTTGCTCATGACAAATACAGGTTTTCCTCTCTTCAGAGCAGTCTGCTTCCAGCCTGCGCAGCCAGAGATGCTGCTAACAAAAACTAAACCACCACCCAAGGAGCAATAATGAATGTGTCAGGACATGGTCTCAGTGAGCTGCAGAAGAGTGAATTTATTTGTCAGTTGTTCACTGGAATTATGTAGGTTTTGTTGCACAATCACTACTGACAGAGATGTTAACAGGCTTTGGAGTTTTTTTCTCTTAAACAGAGCTTGTTCTTTCCTTTAGGAAGAAATGTCCCAGAGCAGGAGCCAGCCTGGAGAACGCTGCCAGCTCTGCCAAGAAGGCCTGGGGATGAGTAGTCCTTCAAGGCTACCTCGCTGCTGGGTTTGGTGGTGGCTGCCACATAGCAGCATTTGCTTCTCAAGCTGATGCAGTGTAGGCCAGCCTGGCTTTTCTACATGGCATTTTTCTATCCTGTACAAGCTGCTGGGACACTTAAAATAGCAAATATGAGCTTCTGAAAGGAAGAAAACATTAAGGAGAATGCTATTTCCACAGTTAACAAACATGAGAGACTGATTATGTGTTCTGCCCACCTCCCTCCTCTGCTTCCACACACACGCAAAAAAGGAGAAAACTGAGGGGAAAATAAAGCACCGTGAAGACCATCAAACCTATCTGCACCCAGACTTGTTACGCATGCGCATGCCAACAGTGCGTATACAATAACATATTTGGATGAAGGATTTGAGGACGTGTGCAGCCCCTGGCAGCAAGTGCCTGAAAAGCATCTGTAATGCCCAGTCTTCATTTAGTGCATCCTTTTGGGCTTGTGAATGTATTATAGCTAAGACCAACACCCTCTTGACAGGGTCTTCTGATAGCCAGCACAGAAACAAGATGCAGATCATGACTAGTACAAGTCCCTCTTTCACACTGAAGCTGATCTCCTGTAGGGGATAGTTGTGAAATCCTACTTTAACTTTTTTCTCCTTTTTGATTCTCAGGAAACATGGAAGTCCTGCAGGACAAGGCTGGCATTGCCTCCACACTGTGAAGCATCCTCATCTGTAAAGGTAGCTATCTTTGCTAGCTTTGCCCTTTATGGCTTTGCCATTTAAAACAACTCATTTTGTTAACCAACCTTTGAATTTTGGGTTTACACTTTCCCAAAAATCATTCTGGAAGTGGATAAGAGAAATTAGTAAAGTGGGGGGGGGTGGGGTGTAAAATCAAACCTTCTTTACAATCCTGTGGCCAAAAAATAAAGACAGAAAACACTACTTTTTAGTATGAAAAATAGCCAAGTAAATTGTAGAACTCACAGAAAGCTAAAAGTATTAAGGGTTTAATGTAAGAAATACTGTACTAAATTTTGGCTGTTTTGAGCAGCTCAAAATTATTCTTTTAAGTATCTAGAAGACCTTTAAAACTTATTTCTTAGTTATATGAACATGTGATCCCCACTGCTTCTGTGAAATACAGGAGTAAGAAGACCTCATTACTGAGCCAGGATCATTTATTAGCTGCAAAATGAAATCATCAAAGTCAACTTTGGGCGTTGTTGTAAATACAATAGATGTACCTTTGCACTGGAAATCAGCAATATTTTCATCATCAAAGTAGATTTCAGAAGTGTTTCACATTACTGATGCCGATTCAGAGGAAAGCTTGAATTACTGAATCACAAATTTTCCATAACCAGCTTGCGTTATGATTGTATATGACAAAACCAATTTGAGCTGCTGGGAAGAATAAGCAATGCCTATTTGCAGCACCTGAGCATTTAGTGTTTTCCCTCTGATTGTGTTTTATTGCTGCATAGCAGCTTCTATGCAAGCAGGAACAAGCGTTTTGCTGGGTAAGCAGGAGGCGGGCCTGTAAGTAGTCACTTTCTTCAGAAGCACAATAAATCAAGGAAACTAAAAGCAAAATCTCTAAGTTTGTTTCCACCAAGTTTCAATCAAAATAGCATTCATTCATCACAGTTACCCTGGTGAGTTTAGGTGGCAGTAACTGCAAAAATAGAAGTTTCATAATAACAAATATAGGCTATAAGAAACTCAGATGAGCGAGCTTTATCTTTCTGTACATGTTCTGAAGATATGGGTAGGATTTTAAGAAGTGCATTGATCATTTAGGAAAAAAAAAATTGCTATTGATTTCCAATGGGATTTACACCTGTAAGTCATTTAGAGAGATTTTCAAGATGTATTTAAGTAGGTAAACATCTAACAGGACTGAGAGACACAGGGAGGTTATATTCTCAAGGGCTCTTTGGAATTTGCAGTGGCCAGCATCTAGCTTCCCCATCACCTCATCCAATGCTTGTCCAGGCCCAGGACTACCCTGATATGACTGACACAGAGTTGGGCACTCATGTAAGGGAATCCAAGAGATGAAAGAGCAAGAGACAAGATAAGCAGAAGAAAGGAAGGACCTATCTGAAACACCCACAAGGTGCCCATTCCATCCTCCTTGTTATTAATGGCAATTATCTTTTTATGTAGAAATCAAGGCAAATGGCATGAAAGGCAATATATTTTCTTTTTAACATTATAGTTTTAGATGAACTTCATTTCTTCAGAATATTTTCCTTTCAAATGTGCATTCATACCATTTTCAAATACAACTCAATTATAAGTTTTGATTTATTGTGTAAAACGGTACTTAATATTAGCAGAAACATTCTTTTTTAAATCCACCTATAAAACTCACTGTACACAGGGTTAAAATTTATTTGTACCTGAACTGCAAGTTAAGGTTCAGCAGGCTTCTACCATCTGTCCAACAATGCTTATGTAAGAAAAATACTCTTCCCAGTGCTGCATTGAGGCTGGGCATAAATTCTACGCCACTTACAAATGTGACAGAACTAAGCCTTGAGAATGGAATATAAGCCCATTTCCTGACACAAGACTCCTAAAGTATCCACTTGTATCTAACTAAATCTCGTTTGCAAAACCCTCAAACACATGAATATATTCATACTATTTTTTTCTTCAGTTTAATCACATCACTGAGACTTAATGTTTCAAAAAAATCAACATCTTATTCCGCGAGAGACTGCATTTCAAGGAAGTCTTTTTGTTTGCTGAAAACAAAAGGATGAAAACTTTTCCAGTCTTGACATGACATAACTCCCTGTTTTGTCTCCTTTCTATGATTAAAATGACATTTTCTGTTGCGTTTTAATGTTGGGAAAATTAAGTACTTCACAGAAATTTGATACTCTTTTGACACACCTTTCTAAATTAAATGACTCCTCTCTACAGTCATTTGCTGCATCATGCAGTAGAATCATCATAGAATCAACTAGGTTAGAAAAGTGAGATCATCAGTTCCAGCCATAAACCTAACACTGCCAAGTCCACCACTAAAGCATGTCCCTAAGTGCCACATCTACACCTTTTAAATACATCCAGTGACGGTGACTCAACCACTCCCCTGGGCAGCCTGTTCCATTGCCCAACTGCCCTTTCTGGTTTTCATTCTTGAGGTTAGCCACATGGTTCCCAGCTTGCCTTGCAGAGAGCAGCCCCGAGCCTGCATGGAGAATTCCAGAAATCTGCTTATAAAGGTGGTGTAGAGCCTGGTTTGTAGCCATGGTGAAAGGTTTAGTCTACACCTACTACTTAGGCACTGGGAAGCACCCCAACATCTAAATGATCTCGTTCAAAGTATTATTATTTACTTATTAATTCCAGCAGTTTTCTTCCTTTCATCTTATTTTGTAATCTGGGTTATGAGTGTAAAAACAAGATGTGTAACATTTAAGTGGGGAAGTCTTGAAAGTGTAGCCACATCCATGAATTTTAATTCATACGGGCAATTTCAGCACGGCTTTAGGGAGAAAACAAAAGATAACACTGGACATCAATAAAATGAAAGGTTTGGGTCTTCAAAATAGAACATTGGTCTTGGCAACTTAGCAAATTCATAATCTGGAGTTGCAACAGCTGTATCTTTTAAATAAAACTGCCAGTATTAATTACTAATATCAAAATAGACTAGCAGGACAGGATTAAGTATACCTGTGAGCTTTTACTCACATCAACCCCAATATTCCTTGCATCAATTTAAAGCCATTGATTGCTCTTATCCAACATATTGGAAGAGATATCCTCTTCCTCTCCGAACTGGGCTGTGTATCCTTGAAAACTGTGATTGTTCCTTTTCTCCCACTCCCAGATTTCTTTTTCCTAATCTAGATAACCTACAAATAAAAGATATTTTTTAAGTTATGTTCTTTACTAAGGAGAACAAGTTATTCTCCTTTGGATGCTCTCCAAGTGTGCCACATTGCTCTTAAAGTATAATATCCACAGTGCTCCAGCTGAGGCTTGATCAATGATGGGTGGAAAAAGGATCTCCCCATGTGTCTTGCAATCTATACTTCTGTCTGTATCTCCCACACTTATGAGATTCAGGGGGAGTGTTGGCAACAGCACAGCTATGATTTATGTTTAGTATACTCCCAAGACCCTTTTCTGAAAAACGCCATTTATTTTTCATCCTCTATTGGAGGGGAATAATCAACTAACAAATGTATTGCATCTCATTTATCTTTATTGAATCTTGCCACTATTTTTAATCCATTTTTCCCAATCTTTTAAATTCTAAATAACCCCCTGTGTGCACTTGCAGTTTCCTACCTTGAGTCATCAAGTTTAACTCCCACTCCCATTGCCCAAGTCAGAGATCAAAGAGATCAGCATTAGAAGAGCCAAAATGTCTGATGCTTCGCTCCAGCTAAAAGGCCTGTTTCAGTGCCTGATACCTCCAGAAGGAACTAGCATAGGCTTTTACTTATTTCTCTCCAATTTCCCCCATTACTTACCAGTCTTATGTGTGTTATTTCTAGGAACTGGCATCAGGCTTGCCAATCTACAGCTATCACAGTCCTCTGCTTTTCCCGTTTTCTTTTCCTGAGACTTACCCCATTTGCCCCTTTCCAGAACTTTACCCATCTTCAGAAATATCAGTTGTGTTCTAACACAACTTCAGTCAGTTTTTAAGTATTCTAGGCCCAGTTGGTTCCAAAATATCTAACAGGCCAAGAACATTTAGCTCCTCTTGAAGGAGATCAGTGGAACTAATAACTGCTTTTACAACACACTTGGAAATGGTGCAAAAGCTATACACTACTCATGAGATTTGATGTTCGACTTTTATAAGCATACATAATATAACTGAAAGTACACAAAATACTAGTGGGACTCTACACCTTCACTTTTTGGATGCATTCAGCAATTTATTAGTGTGTGAAGGACACAAGATAGGATTGTTCAAGAGCATTCATAAATTTAGATCAGACCCTCCTTGCAAGAATCAGGCTTCCAAATTAGCTGAGCACTACTCTAAAAGCAGAAACCCAGTTGTTTACTGCCAGATCTGTAGGCTATTGATGAGAGCAGAGATTTGTTACTCCATGGATTGTCCTCCCCCCGTATCTATTGACCAGTATCTAATAGCTGTATTATCACTCAGACTTCTTGCTTCGTAACATGACTCACGTCTGCAGCAATTCTCTCACAGTGCCTTTTATTCCAGACATGAGAAAGGAGATGGGGGATGCTAGCAAGAATCAAGGATAACATCAGAACTCAGTTTAAGCATGTAATCTGCTTTACCCATGTATTAGGCTAAAGAGGAGAACTTAGCACACGTTTCTGATTACCATTACTACTGCCTGGTTACATGACTGTTCCAAATACCTCCCTGCAGGTGATCCCGTCACCACTGACCACAGATACGTGGTTACAGTCTGATGAAGGTGCAGGCACAGGATGCTCCAAATCCAGGGAACAGACATAGGAGAGACAAGAAGAAAACGTGAGTAATAAGCAGTGCCATCTAGTGTAGTGCAGGCACGCACTCATTCACAGGGAAAGGAGCCGGCCTCCAGGAGTTGCTTAGCCGTTAAGAGAGCCACAGTACTAAACCTATACACACCACAGAAGGGTTTTGATGGCAAATAAAAGTAAAAGATGCCAGAGTGGCTTTGTGCCTTTTGAGTTCTGCCTGATTTACACCCTGGTACCTCATCCCCCTTCTTTTATTTGGCTCTGTGCCT